CTCTCTCGCTGTGTCTCTCTCTGTCAAATAAATAAATAAAATCTTAAAAAAAAAAAAAAGTTAAGCATAAATTTGGGGCACCTGGGTGGCTCAGTCGGTGAAGTGTCTTGATTTCGGTTCAGGTCAAGATCTCAGGGTTGTGGGATCGAGCCCCACGTCTGGCTCTGAGCTCAGCGGGAAGCCTGCTTCAGATTCTCCCTCTCCCTCTGCCTCTCCTCCCACTCTCTGTCTCTCTCTCAAATAAATAAATATTTTTTTAAAAAAGTTAAGCATAAATTTACTATATACCAGCCACTCCACTCCCAGGTATCTACTCAAGAGAAATAAAAATATATATCTACACAAAGACATGTATGTGAATGTTCATAGCAGCTTTATTCATAATAGTCAAAAGGTAGAACAACCCAAATGCCCATCAGTGGATGAATGGATAAGCAAAATGTGTTGTACCCATCAATGGGCTACTATTCGGCCATGAAAAGAAATGAAGTGCTGACATATGCTACAGCATGGCTAAACCTTGAAAACATTACACTAAGTAAAAAGAACCAGTCACAAAAAATTGTTTATTGTATGATTTCCTTTATATGAAACATCTGGAATGGGGATATTCATAGAGGCAGAAAGTAAATTCGTGTTTGCCCAGGACTAGAAGTAGGAATGAGGAATGACTGCAGGAAATGTCTTTTGTGGTGATGGAAATGTTCCAAATCTAGACTGGAGTGAGGTTTGCACCACTCTGTAAATTTACTAAAAAGTCACTGAATTGTGTACCACTTGAATGAATCAATGGGTTCTCAATCACACCTCAATAACACTATTAAAAATAGGGGCACCTGGGTGGCTCAGTCGTTAAGCATCTGCCTTCGGCTCAGGTCACGATCCCAGGGTCCTGGGATCGAGCCCCGCATAGGGCTCCCTGCTCAGTGGGAAGCCTACTTCTCCCTCTCCCATTCCCCCTGCTTGTGTTCCCTCTCTCGCTGTGTCTCTCTCTGTCAAATAAATAAATAAAATCTTTTAAAAAAAGAAAATATTTTAATTAAAACAAAACACTGTTAAAAATAAACACTGGAATTAATGACTTTACCTTCTATATATTTCTGGTTCCCAAACTTAAATTTAATGTAAAAATAACAGAGGGATGTTAGATATGATTACATAAAAACGTAGAGGTGTTACACATCAAAACACAAAATAGAAACAGAAGAATAAATTGACAATATTTACCATATATAAGACAGAAACGACACAATTAGTATATAAAGTTTGCATACAAATCTATGAGAACAAAGTAGTGAGATCCCAATTATAAGTGGGGTAAAGGATACCAACAGACTACTTCACCCCTTCTTTGAAAAATGACTAATAAACATTAGAAAAATATATCTGACCCTAAGAATAAGCAGAAGAATGTACATTTAAAAAGCTATAATTTTCACCAATTAAAGTAGCAAGTTGTTTTGGATAAAAGATTCCATACTGGCCTAGGTACAGTGAGACAAACTCTTGTGTGCTCTCTTGCCGTAAATATAAATAAAGACACCTTTTCAGCAAAACAATTTGGCTGTTTGTCTCAGAAGCCTGAAAAAAAATCTATAACTTTTGACTAAATAATTCTACTATAATTATAGGGTGCTAGCTTGAGAAACTAATTTAAGATGCAGAAAAAAACTTCATGTACAAAGATGTCCAACTAAGTACTATTTATAATAATAAGAAAAAACAACCTGAAATAGAATATGTAAGTAAACTATTCTACATTCATACAATGAAATACTATGTCACCATTAAAATTACTTTCGAAGACTTGATAACATGGGGACATATTTGAGTCATCATGTTCTGTGGGAAAAAAAACCCCATCAGTATACAAATTGTTAATGGGGAAAAAAAAAATCACATTAGGATATCATCTCAATTAGTAAAAAATGTATGGAAAAAAGACTGGAAGGAAATATACTAAAATATTAACTGTTACCACCTCTAAGTGGGATTTTCAAATATGTATCATAACAATACTTTCAAAGTTTTTAGAAAACATAATTTCATGGTGTTTATTAAAAGGAAATCCTCAAAGCAAAAGACCAAAGGCAGGTACCCCAGAATAGTTCACTGCCTATGGTTTGAAGGTCATCATAACCTTGTGTATCAAAAACTCGTACTGGATTAACCCCCAATGATTTAGTGTCATATGTTAAACTTTAATTCACCGGACAGATGCTGTATTGCCTATTATTCACATGTTCTTTAAACCCACTAACTGCTAGGTTGGCAGCATGAGCTGGTTTTGCAAGGAAAAAGTTAGCAAGCCATCTCCCAGCTGGGGCTGTCCACCAACACTCATGGCGTTATTTGTCGCATTTGACGATGGCCCAACAGAGCAATCACTGTCTACAGTATGTCAAAAGGAACCATGCAATTAAGTCAATCCAGGCCCAAAGTCAGTGAATTCAGTGAGACGAATAAGGTTAAAAAAAAAAAAAAAAAAAAAGTCAGTTGGTATCACATGAAGCAAAACTGATTGATTGACTGAACTTCTCACTTTCCAACTGATTTGCATAGTATTCTGAGCAGTCCAACCTGCAGCTGTTTCCGCTATACTCTCTCACTAGAGCTAATAATAAATTTTTAAAAATCTGCGATACAATTCTTCAAGGTACCATGGTTTCCATTTTGACAGGCAACCTCCCGCGGCACAGCCTACATGAACTGCAGGAGCTGGGAGGCATCCAGCCTTATGCCAGAGCAGAAATTCGGAGGAAAGCAAGTCCTTCGTATCTGACTTCTAAAGAAAAAGCAAAAGGAGCCTCTTCTAACAAGAGCTACCCTGCTGAAATCAACCCTAATTCCCAGAGCTTCTTCCCATTTCATATTTACGAACAGCTTTTACAGCCTCAGTGGCTACAACAGGTTCCTTGGACTGTTGTGTTACTGTTGTCTTCCCTCTTGTTTGTCCTCTCTGTGTATGGATACTCATCAGGCTAGAAATATCTGTTCTATTAACCCCTGCAAAGGAGAGAAGGCACCCCACCAGCCCAGCGTGGAAGGAAAGTACTACCTCGGAGGTAAGGAGCCCCAGGTCTGGTCTCAGGGATTTCACTGGCAGCGAAACCTTGGGTAAGCCTCTCTGCTGCACAGCTGTGCACTGCACCAAAAAATGGAAAGTTTGAAAAGTGTCATATTCAAGAATCTGGTAAACCATGGGGCACCTGGGTGGCTCAGTCCTTAAGCGTCTGCCTTCGGCTCAGATCATGATCCCAGGGTCCTGGGATCGAGCCCCGCATCAGGTTCCCTGCTCCACGGGAAGCCTGCTTCTCCCTCTCCCCCTCCCTCTGCTTGTGTTCCCTCTCTCGCTGTGTCTCTCTCTGTCAAAGAAATAAATAAAATCTTAAAAAAAAAAAAAAAGGAATCTGGTAAACCAGATCCTCTGAAATCCTTCCCTAAAATGCAAAATAAAATAAAGAAACATCATTTAGTTGAAATGCATAGCTAAGCTCACAAGAAAGTAAGGGGAATCCTCAGAAGACCAAAAAAAATGAAGTGAGAGCAAGAAATCAGAATTTTTTAAAAGTGGTGAAGCCAAGGTTGCCAGAGGAAATTTGCTGATAATCACTGCTCAGG